GGAGAGCACACAAGGGAGACAAGGAAGAGAGGAAGAAGGAGAAAAGGGAGAGGACAATGTCGGCGGACTGAGCCGGAGGCTCTAAAGTATATATATATATTAGGCCCCTCCCCCCGTTGTGCCCCCGTTTCGCTTGATTTGACCGCGGAGGCTGTATAGTTTTGATGATTTTGGAGTAAGGTGCACGGTCTTGCTTTTTTAAGCAGACAGGCCGTAGTGGATTGCTTGTCTTTGCAGCAGACTTAAGCGGAGGCACACAGGCTTGCAGTCTATCATGTCCATTTCATCTAGTTTTGGACACAGGGCAATCTCATTGCTCAACTCCAAGAAAAAAGCTTCCCAAGCAAACATGTCTCAACATGTAGACATGATAGAAGCCTCGGGAAATCATAGAAACTGGACCCTCACAAGGCAAATTAGGCACCCCTTAAACAAAAACAGCTAGAAGGCAATTTGTGCTGTCGTCGGCAAGATTAGCCGCGTTTTTCTTGCACAGAACAAGCTGTGCTTCCGTGCAATGTCTTTGCGCAAGTTTCTCGGCGCAAGTTCTCTGAGCGCCAAAAAAATACCTCTTGCACACAAGAAATGCGTATGATCGGGATTCAAGATTGACAATTGCCCAGGAAAGAGTTATCCACAATCTTGACTCCAGAAAAAAGGCCATAGAGTCAGATTAAGACTATAGTATAGTGTATGAAGCCGTGTTAGTCTGGTTTTGGGCACAAAGGAATTCCATGACAACAAGAAACTAAAACAGGAACAAGCATTCCAAGCAAAATGTAGACATGCCAAACCCCGGGAAAAGTACAGAAATGGGGCCAAGAAAGGAAAATTGAGGATCCCTGGAGAGGAGATTGCCCAACAAAGCTTTGTCCAGAAAACGAAGGAGATTCAACATGGAAGCTTGCCCATGAAACTGGTTGTGAAGCTGTTTTGTCAACTCCCCTGAAACTATGACTCCTGAATCTAAACACTTCAATACAGTACGTAGATCCACAATGCAGGACTTCTGCTTTGATCTCTTTGAACGTCTCCCGTGAAATCTAAATACCGGTATTAAGGTTTCTTAGCACTGTCATGCAGCTTCCTTAATACCCGGTATTAAGGAATCTGGATCCAAGATCCAAGATCCAAGATTGCTGGGGGACTTTGGAGAGAAATCTTGAATCCAGAAAGTCCCCCCGAGAACCTTCATACCGGTATTAAGGGTTCTTCATGGTTGGCCAAAAACATGAACAAATCCTGAACAAAGTGGCTAAAATGGCAAGAAGGCGTGGCACCAAGGGGGGGGGGGGTACCATATATATATATATATAGAGAGACATATAGATAGATAGATAGATAGATAGATAGATAGATAGATAGATAGATAGATAGATAGATAGGACAGACAGACAGACAGACAGACAGACAGACAGACAGACAGACAGACAGACAGACAGATAGATTAGATAGATAGATAGATAGATAGATAGATAGATAGATAGATAGATAGATAGATAGATAGATAGATAGATAGATAGATAGATAGATAGATAGATAGATAGATAGATAGATAGATAGATAGATAGATAGATAGATAGATAGATAGATAGATACATAGATAGATAGATAGATAGATAGATAGATAGATAGATAGATAGATAGATAGATAGATAGATGGATAGATAGATAGATAGATGTGCATGATCACATACATCACCCATCCAGTGCAATAGACACACTCCAATAGATATCACAACATTGCATTATATTACCCCAGACAATATTGCAGTGCATTGTGGAGCACTTCATTACAGGCATTGCATTCCAAACACTGCACACAGTGCGACTTAAATTCAATACATGCAACAAAACATAGATGTCCGCATAGAACGTACATTTATAGAGCTCATAACGCACATATATATATATATTATCAAATGTATCAACAAATAACATTGAGTCATAGTACGTTGCGTTGCGATACATTATACTACATTGCATTGCTTAACCTTCCTGTGCATTACATCATAGTCGATAAAGTGCACTCTGCTACATTGCGTGGAATGAAATCACATTGATTGACATGGCATGCATACATTGCAATTGTATTGCATGACAATGACTACACAATAATGCACTGAATCCCACTATAGTACTTTGCGCTACAATTAATCAAATTATGTCATATTTACAAAACATTGCGTGGCTTTACACTGCATTACATCATATTAATGACAATACATGCATGCCACCCATTACAGTAGATTACATTAGATCGCATGGCATCGCATTGCATTGCCTTGCTTTGCAGTATACGGTAATTACATCACGCCACATATCATAATACGACATTGGATTCACACTACAGTATGCTATATTGCAGCACAATACATATATACAATTACATTACAATATATTATATTATGTATCATCATGGTGCAATGCCCGCATACATACAATACGCGATACACACCATACACGCAGTACATACAATACATGCAATACATACTATACATACTATACAATACCATACAATACATACGTACAACACAATACAATGCCATGCCATACCAGATAGATGGCATGCTGTATCAATTTGTCATGTGCATCTTTGGCATACAGCAACTGCTTCAAGTTGCGTGCATCTATGTCCGTTGGTGAGACGAACAGCGAATAGGTTTGATGACCCACACCGCACTTGGGCACTTGGACTCTAAAATTCAAAGGTCGCTGCCACAATACATCAACATGGGCAATGACTCCATGGTGCGCTGGTGCCATGCTTCCCGCTAAATCTGCGTTGGTCATGGAAGACACCAGCTCCAAAGGCGGCATGGTTCGCAAAGCAAATGAGCCCAAGCCACGCATACGTCATGCGCCACCTTCCAAATCGTGACATACTATAGCCTTTAGAATGCTCCCTCTCAACTTTGACAAACTGCAACAATCGATCGTATGTGTGTATATCTTAAACAGCTCACCATTCTCGAATCGCCAATGCAATACAATCACTCAAGTTGGCATGTGCTGACGCATCGTTGCCCAACCTTTGCTGCTCTGACCTCCTTGCATCTCCCTTAGGGAGCTGGTGAGACTGCTAGTGAGACGTTCATTAACATGAAGGGTAGTGCCCTTCACACCTTGGCTTTGACCTTCACCAAATGCTTTCGTGTTGAACTCGGCTACAGCTCACCCTGCTGCAGTCAAAGCAGGTGCACAATGCGCTGCGGTTCCCCGCGCGCCGCCTGTCTCAGTAGGAAGAAAACTGAGCATAATTCTCAAGTCTCTGTACATAGGGAGCGCACAAGTGGCCAGTGAGAAGCCTACCCAAAGTCAATAAAACATTTGACATGCAGGCCAAGACAGCCATGACTTTCTCCCCTTTCATGCAAAGCTAGTCGCGGTGAAACCTCAGGCTTCACGGCATCTTAGAGCAATCACAAGAAGTGCCAGCAGTACCTGGGAGACAAAGCTGAATGTCTGGAAAGTACGCCCCCCAACGAGGAGTGATTTCAATGATTCTGGTTATGTTGACTATTCATCTATCAGAGGTTGATTACTTCCGGGTAAAGAATATCATTCAGCAGCCCAAAGAAGCTCGAAAGAAGCCCCAAAGAAGCTCCCAAGAAGCTCGAAAAAAGCCCCAAAGAAGCTCCAAAGAAGCCCCAAGGAAGCTCCAAACCTTCTATGATGCTTCCGGACTGAGGCATCTGCTGGGCTGACGCAGCTCGACGCCGCAGCGCCAGTTTGGGAAAAAGCGATGGAAGATGGGTGCGACTGGCGAGATCAAGGCGAGCACTCAACTCAGCGCCCAAAACCCCGTTGACTTGTGGTTCTACCAACATCGGTACAAGGGTTGATATAGGCCTTACTAGAAACCGCATGAAACCAGTAGAACACCCTATAGTGGCGGGGCTTGAGCGCTGGCACACCGCCACAAGCTCTTCGTGGACGCGAGTGTGGTCTGACATTGATCATTCTTATCTTGCCCCTTGAAAACAGTCCCACTGCTCTGCCATGAACCAGTTCGTGGAACAGATCCTAACTCGGAACGACTTCTGGCGGTAAATTACAATGTGGCCTCGCCCATGTTGAAGCCAGCAAGGGGGAAGCTCGCTAAGGCCTGGGCTTGATTCCCTTCAAAGAAGGCGATCCGGATTGACCAGCGCAGCTGAATCTAGAAAGGTACCCTTTTCACCTTGGACTTAAGAGAAGCCAAAAGGATGCCAATCGTTTTCGGGGATACCTATGTTGAAATATAGGGGGTCAAACAATATTCCTGCCCTCCAAATGACCTTGGGTAGCTCTTCTCATGCAGTGGGAAATGTCATCTTTGTAGTGGTTTTCCCCGATGGTCATCCCATGTAAAGGACCTTTGAGCCACCCCCCTGTATACATCATACACACATATGTCACATATCAGTTTTTGGTTGCTCCAAGAAATGGTTGATCTCCCTCTAACGGGACAATCAAACACACACACACACACACACACACACACACACACACACACACACACACGCACGCACACGCACACGCGCACGCGCACACGCACACGCACACCCACACACACAAACACACAAACACACAAACACACAAACACGCAAACACGCAAACACGCAAACACGCAAACACACAAACACACAAACACACAAACACGCAAACACGCAAACACGCAAACACGCAAACACGCAAACACGCAAACACGCAAACACACAAAACACACAAACACACAAACACACAAACACACAAACACACAAACACACAAACACACAAACACACAAACACACAAACACACACACACACACACACACACACACACACACCCGCGCGCGCGCGCACCCACGCATAAGTTTGATGTTGACTTCAGATTAATCAACCCCAGTTTATTCATAGGGGGTGTTCCTCTCCAAAAGTGGTCTGATTCCAATCACATTTCACCCAGGGAAAAGCACCCGGCTGGTTGATTCACATGGGGTCAACATTACCTTGGGCTCCAAGAAGTGAGCAGAAGGCCCTCGATCCAAGGCTGCAGCTCGCGGATCGTTGGAGCCCGTGCAAGATTCGTTCCGCAAGGCCGGGCTGCACACCGTGAGCTCCCAAATCTCAGTCCGTCTGGTGAAATCGGAAGCCACGAAATGAGGCGTTACCTTCGGTGCACGAAAAAAGTAAAAGCACAACATGTACCCTCGAAAAAGACCCACCCAAGAAATACTCGCAAATCGACCAAACGGACATTCGAACATCTGGCTGCATGGGAATTGGGTGAGAATTGGGCAGGCCTCCAATTCCATGTCCTCCTTTGATGAACAGTAGACGCACAGGAATGTTGCGAACTGCCGATCTGTAGCGGGAGCAAGCACATAAGCACGAGATTTGGAATCTGAGGCAAACACATTGTACTTCGGCATCACAGCAGGCACCATGATTGGCCATTGGAACCTAGGCAAGCTTTGAGTCAGTCGAAACTGTTTTGAGCTATTTCACAGTTCGAGTCGGCCTGTATGCCCCGATTGCGAGCTTCTGAATGGCCTCCTCGTCCATAAGCAGCCTTAACCTGCAGCAATGGGCAGAGGAAGTCACTTAGATTGCGGAAGGAAACACGTCAAGTCATGCACAAGTCTGTGTAGTTAGTCGTCTTTATCTTGCGGGTCACCCAACTCTGCGTATTGTCTACAATCTTGCACAACCAGCTGATTGTTAAAACTGCAATCGTTTGCGGCCAATGTGAGCTTTGGATTAATCCGGAAAACCGCAAGAATCAGGAGGGATCCCCATCTGTTGTGGGAGCCAAAAATAAGTTCCACGAAGACAGTGCCCCGAGTTGTTCGCAGGGAACACGAAGATCAGTCTGGTTGGTTCCCAAAGAAAGCTCCTGCCTTCTGGGATCCGTGACGTCCAGCCAGCCACCTGAGCGCCCACTTTTTCGCCATCTGTCATGGTGGGCCAGAAAAATGGCTAGCCCCGTTCAACCCTTAAGCAGCCGGCAACAGGCTCAGCCGGATTCTGTACCCAGTTGTTTGCATGCGCATGCAAAAACCCAGTAATGTCTTAACAACCTCTTTTGGGCCTCCCTTCAAACACAGTAACGAGTCTGGCTGTTTCAACATTTCTCCCCTGCGGCCCGGCTATTCCAACCCAAAGCAGTTCTCGACCTCCGTTTTGCCCTGCAGTTGGGGTTGACAAAACAGTTGGCCGGGGTTCCTTACAATTTCACGCTTAGATCACCCATTTCAAGGACGCTCCCTTAAAAGTGGCATTTCCAAAAAGCGATTCTGAGGATGTAGATCTGCATACAGTCATGTGAAAATGATGTAAGTGATAGCCCTGTAGTTTTACAAGGACCTACATCTTGCCCATGAGCATGCGTAGCCCCATGTTGACCTATGCAGCCATGCCACCGTCTCTCCTGGGCAGCGGCTGCGTCAGCGTCTCCAGCTGCGCGGTCTTCTGGACCTCTGCTCGATGCATGCCATGCATGGACTACAGGTCGGTTGTCACTTCTCGTTCTTGCTTGATCGTTTTTCCTCATCTAGTCCCGAATTGACCTGAAAAGATCCCCTCCCTCTCTCAGAGCCAGCAACAGGCTTTGCCAGTGCTGTTTGCGCGCAAAAATGTGCCTGGTGAGAGAAATCAGGAGGCATCTGAATGATGATCTCACTGATAATGGGAGGGTCCTACACAACATTCGACAGGGTGCTCGAATGGCACAGCTTCGGGCACGGCACGAACTGACTTGAGACTATCGCTCACAAATCAGTCCTTGAGCGGAAGCTCTCCCAGTATCTCTATGCCCGTACTGACAAACGTGTTCCTGGCCAAATGGCTGTGGGTCAAAATCCCGTACCCCCAGCGAACATTCCAGTCCCCACCAAAATAGACTAAAATGGGTGGTGCACCGACCCCAAAATGGTACCATTGGCTTTGACCCAGCCAAATGAGTGCCATGCTCGTGGTGTGTTTTGAAACTTGGGACCAGCATTCAAACCAGAACTCCGTGTGCATTCAGGCCATGAACGCACCTGATCAAGACATCAGCCAGTCCTGTTCGGCTCCGCCATGCCCCAAATCAGTGGCATGGCACTGATGGGCAAGCCATGCTGGATCCGAAGCCCAGGAATACTCATGGCAGCATCTGATACCTCGAGCAACCAGCGGAATGGTGCTCCCTATGAAACATGAAGGATGGATGCCGGAAACAGCACATGTGCCAGGCGCAACATGCCTTGTTTTTGGAGTGGAATGTGATCCCCAAGTGCTATGGTGACAGTACGACTCATCTCGAATCTTGGTGCCACATCTCGACGCCGGCTCTGGCCTGACCCCTGTCCGTGAGGATCACGATGTAAAAGTAATTGTCGTTGACTGCTGCAGGACAGGTGCTGGTTACCTGGGAGCACAAGTCTTGTAAACCTGGCCGTACAATGCCTATTGATGTGGCATCCCCACTTCACACACACACACACAACACGCAACGGAAAAACGCACGACGCGCGCCAAAACTCTGGGGGTGCCTTTCTGAGAATTGGAGGCTGAGGCAAGAAATTGAGGCCCCTGCAGCAAAAGCCTGCTGCCCCGGCGGCAGCGGCCGCGTCAGGCGCAGCTCGAAGTAGCCCTACACAAAGTCTCAATTGTTCTGCTAGATTGATCGATTGGACAACCTCTGGGCCGCTTGCACAGTCTTGATAGAGGCCAGCCCTCTGATCCCGGTAGAATCTGTTGGCGTTTTAAGGCCTGCTCCTAAAACGAAGAGCCAAGAGCTTCTATCACGTGTTTCAACCATAGGTTGGTGTTTTGCCAGCTAGGTCGATGGCCTTGGCTGCTGAAAGCCTGGCCTGTTGGATGTAGTTGATGCAGGTTACCTCACCAGCAATCGCCACCTGCAAGGAATTTCGGGGCCAGCTCAATGCACCACACAAAAACGCTTGGCCTGGTACAAATACTGGCCAGCGCAAAGGATCTCAATGTCCCTGCCAGTTTGCAACTGCACACTTTTCAATGTGGTACTCTTTGCAAGCAAGCCAAAGCTGCGTGGGATATCCAACTCGGATAGCTCCACCTTCTTCGATTTTCTCCTCAGGTCTCGCGCTATAGCCTCCCGCAACTCTTGATCCAAATGTCAGCCAAGCATCATTCGTGATGAAGCTGAAGGCCATTTGCCCAGCAATACTCGGAATCCCTGGATAGAGCACGCTGGCACCTCAGATCTGCCCAGCCCATTGCCTGCATTTTGTGCCGATGTGGAGCTGAGACTGGCACCCAACATTTGCCGAATCAGCACTCCCTGGGGATCCTCGACACCCAATGCACTCATTCCAAAAAGACAAGACCAAGTGTCTGTCGTGGTGGCATTGCAACGAACTGCCCATGAGTGATGCAACGGAAGTTCAAACGAATCACGCGCAGAAGGCTCTCCTCGCCCCAGGCAAGCTGCAATCCTGTTGCGCTGTCTCTGGCCTGTGCATCAACCATGCACCCACTCACGAGTCACGATAGTTCAATCTCATCAGCTGAGATGGCAAATGGGCGCGGTGCCTTTTGGGTACCCGGCTTGCAGGACAAGCAAAAGGCAACTAACCATTTCCCTAATTTGGGGGCACGCCCAAACACACCTGGTACTGCACGCAAACACGGGAGAATGCGGCGGTGCAGCCAAGGCTCATTGACAAACCAGCTGGTACTTGGAGGATTTTGCGCAGGAGCTCTCACTTTGATCACCTCAATTCCGGCAAATGTCACAAAGCTGGATTGTGCCCAATGTTTCAATGCTCCCGAACTACGTGTAACAGAATTGCGAGGGGGTGTCCGCGGAACAGATTGCACGAGACTGTTCGTTTCTACATCTAAATCTGCTGTTGCATTCACCGGTCAACCCCAATGAAAAAAGGGTTGACTAGCAGCCGAGCCAATCACAGAGTTGACATGAAGCAAAACGGTGCAAAGCTCCCTAAGCAAACTCCCTAGAACCCAAGGGCTGCACCACATACTCCAGTATCGATGTCAAGCCTGAGCATCGCAGGCTCAAGTTGAGCCAAGACACAGGGAAGAAACGTCTCGTTGCATAGTGTATTTGAATGGGGAACACCTCAAGAAAACCAATGCCCACCTAGTCGATGTCCGCCAAAGGGTTCCAAAACAAGAGTCGTGCCCATGTGTGTTTGTCTGCGTTTGTGTGTGTGTGTGTGCCTGTGTGTGTGTACGCATGTTTGTGATGGTGTTTGTGTTTGTTGTTGTGTTGTGTCTGCGTGTGTGTCTGTGTGTGTGTGTGTGCGTGTCTGTGTGTGTGTGTGTCTCTGTGTGTGTGTGTGTGTCGCTGTGTGTGGGTCTCTGCGTGTGTGTGTGTGTGTGTGTGTGTGTCTGTGTGTGTCTCTGTGTGTGTGGGTGTTTCTGTGCGTGTGTGTGTGTGTGTGTCTCTGTGTGTCTCTGTGTGTCTCTCTGTGTGTGTGTTAGCGATGTGTGTGTTTGGTGTTTGTGCATGTTCTTGTGCGACTGTGTATGTGTGTCTGTGTATGTGTTTGTATGTCTGGGTGCGTGCGCGTGCTTGTGTTTCTGTGTGTGTGTGTGTGTGGAGGTGTGTGCGTGTGCCTGTTTCTCTGTGCGTGTGTGTTTGTGAGTGTGTTTGTGTGTGTGTGCTGGTGTGTTGGTGTGTTGGTGTGTTGGTGTGTTGGTGTGTTGGTGTGTTGGTGTGTTGGTGTGTTGGTGTGTTGGTGTGTTGGTGTGTTGGTGTGTTGGTGTGTTGGTGTGTTGGTGTGTTGGTGTGTTGGTGTGTTGGTGTGTTGGTGTGTTGGTGTGTGTGGGTGTGTTGGTGTGTTGGTGTGTTGGTGTGTTGGTGTGTTGGTGTGTTGGTGTGTTGGTGTGTTGGTGTGTTGGTGTGTTGGTGTGTGTGTGTGTGTGTGTGTGTGTGTGTGTGTGTGTGTGTGTGTGTGTGTGTGTGTGTGTGTGTGTGTGTGTGTGTGTGTGTGTGTGTGTGTGTGTGTGTGTGTGTGTGTGTGTGTGTGTGTGTGTGTGTGTGTGTGTGTGTGTGTGTGTGTGTGTGTGTGTGTGTGTGTGTGTGTGTGTGTGTGTGTGTGTGTGTGTGTGTTGTGTGTGTGTGTGTGTGTGGGTGTGTGTGTGTGTGTGTGTGTGTGTGTGTGTGTGTGTGTGTGTGTGTGTGTGTGTGTGTGTGTGTGTGTGTGTGTGTGTGAGTGTGTGTGTGTGTGTGTGTGTGCGTGTGTGTGTGTGTGTGTGTGTGTGTGTGTGTGTGTGTTGTGTGTTGTGTGTTGTGTGTTGTGTGTTGTGTGTTGTGTGTTGTGTGTTGTGTGTTGTGTGTTGTGTGTTGTGTGTTGTGTGTTGTGTGTTGTGTGTTGTGTGTTGTGTGTTGTGTGTTGTGTGTTGTGTGTTGTGTGTTGTGTGTTGTGTGTTGTGTGTGTGTGTGTGTTGTGTGTTGTGTGTTGTGTGTTGTGTGTTGTGTGTTGTGTGTTGTGTGTTGTGTGTTGTGTGTTGTGTGTTGTGTGTGTGTGTGTGTGTGTGTTGTGTGTGTGTGTGTGTGTGTGTGTGTGTGTGTGTGTTGTGTGTGTGTTGTGTTGTGTTGTGTTGTGTGTGGTGTGTGTTGTATTGTGTGTTGTGTGTTGTGTGTCGTGTGTCGTGTGTCGTGTGTCGTGTGTCGTGTGTCGTGTGTCGTGTGTCGTGTGTCGTGTGTCGTGTGTCGTGTGTCGTGTGTCGTGTGTCGTGTGTCGTGTGTCGTGTGTCGTCGTGTGTCGTGTGTCGTGTGTCGTGTGTCGTGTGTGTGTGTGTGTGTGTGTGTGTGTGTGTGTGTGTGTGTGTGTGTGTGTGTGTGTGTGTGTGTGTGTGTGTGTGTGTGTGTGTGTGGTGTGTGTGTGTGTGTGTGTGTGTGTGTGTGTGTGTGTGTGTGTGTGTGTGTGTGTGTGTGTGTGTGTGTGTGTGTGTGTGTGTGTGTGTGTGTGTGTGTGTGTGTGTGTGTGTGTGTGTGTGTGTGTGTGTGTGTGTGTGTGTGTGTGTGTGTGTGTGTGTGTGTGTGTGTGTGTGTGTGTGTGTGTGTGTGTGTGTGTGTGTGTGTGTGTGTGTGTGTGTGTTGGTGTTTGTCTGGTTTGTTCTTCTGTCTGTTTGTTTGCTTGCTTGCTTGTTTGTTTGAGGGTTCCCTGTTTTAGGTTGGTTTAACGATTTAAGGGAAACCAAAAGGAAAGCATAGTGAAGCCATTTTAGGGGGTTGTCCCTTCCTTATGCTGACACATACCCATTTGCCAGGAGCCGAGCGCACAGTGGTCAACAAAGCTGCAGCCCGGCCAGCGACGTTTCCAAACCTGAGTTGCCAGGCTCAGCAGGTCCACAGAACTGAAATATCCGAGCGAAATGGTGGCTCAAAGCGGCTCTCACCCCCTCCGCCAAAAGCAGTCGCATGCGTGGAATGCGCGCACACCAGTTTTGACCTCGAGACTGAGCTGGCTTGGGCTCAGGCAGTCTGCAGGACAGGACATCGTTGTTCTGGCCTGCGAGCCCACCCCACGACCGCATGACCGCGGCTATGCCACCATGCATCTTCCTCATCTCATGAGGCCCCAGCTTGCCACCAAGCAATTCCTCACACGCGTTCAGTGCAAAGCAGGCAGCCCGACCAAGGACAAAACGCCCAGATTGCTGGCAAATGAGAGGACCTTCTTCTGATTCTGCCATACAAAGCAATCAAACCGAAACACCCTGCTATACCAAAATAAGTCATCCCCACTTTATCACCTTTGCTACTCCTGCGCAAAAACAACACAGACCCCAAGAAGAGTCCTCAAAACGGAGATCCCTCTACACATAGTTCTGTTTTCGGACTCCATGCTCATCTGCGGAATCACCACAGCCGTGCGGAGGGCCTTCCTTCAGGAGTGTTTCTCAAAATAGGAGGAAACGCCATGTTGGGCTGGGTCTTTTGTTTGAGCCCTCGCCAAAGCTCCATGCATGGTACGATTGCTTGTGAAGCCCTACAAGGCATTGGGTGGCCACCAGCCCAGTGAGGCTCAGTGACTTCAACACAGCCAAAAGAACTCGCCGAGCGGCGTGGTGAAGTTGAAGCCGAGCGGTGCCACAAGGATCAGCTCATCCGGCTGCGAGGATTTGGGGTCCACCACCAACTGGCGAGCAGCTGATGTTGGTTGCTTGGGCGGTCGGTCGGTTGCTTAGTTGCTTGGCTGCTTGCTTGCTTGCTTGCGTGCTTGCTTAGTTGCCTGGTCGGTCGGTCGGTCGGTCGGTTGGTTGGTTGGTTGTCGGTTGGAGGGCGAGCGCAGCTATTTTCGACCAAACTGATCTGTAAAGGACACCCATGGCATTGCCCCTGGTTTTCCTCTATCTGCACTTCTCTGGGAGGCCAGGCGTCTGGTTCTAAGCCGCAGGCGTCTACATCGATTTCAGCCATCGGCGGTGACCGGGACGCCCGTACCTAGGGCGGAAGCAGCTTTCAAAAACCAGGGTCCCAGTTTGTACAAGGACAGTCAACACCATCTGCAGTGTCCTTCCTTACTTTTCAGCCGCAACCCCCATTCATTCCCTTCAAGAATATCATCTGCAGTTTCCTTCCGTATTATTTGGCCGCACCCCCCATTCATTCCTTTCAATGAAGCTGTGTTTCATATCAAGCCTGAGGCCAGCACGGTCAACTCTGCGCGATCCACTAGCCGGAACCCCTGCACTTTTGTGTCGCTTTCTCTCACTCTCTCCCTCTCTATCCATTTGCCATGAGTCAAAAGCCCCCAGTGAACATCCCAATCCCTACTAAAATAGACTAAAATGGGTGGTGCACCTACTCCAAAATGGTACCATTGGTTTTGACCCACAGCCATTTGGGCATTGCGGAGCGCAGATTCTGCCAATCACTCTTGCGGTGGCTGCTTCCCCGCGCCTCTGTCAGACCATCGTTGGTGTTCAGCGAGAGGGGATTCCCGTCCAAAATCTGCGGGCTTCGATTGATTTTGGCACTGGAAGCTGCGCAGCGCGTCTCACTCTCAGGTCCCTCACCCGATCGTGCCCCAACAAGTGTACACTTGCACGCTTTTTGGATGCAAAGCAATGCAAAGCAATGCTCCGCACAAACGCTGTGCGGAAAGCTACTCGTAACTGGCCCTTTGTACACTGACACTGGTTGCCAGGGATGCAAGTGGTACACCGGGCACGCTTCCAAGAGATCTCAGGGCACAACTAGCCACACGTATCCCACACAATGGGCTACATCTGCACGTACAAGTATTCAAACACCCGGAAATGCTTAGCATCCTGGTGTGGTCTAGCGATATCTCATTGTTTTGAAAGTGCTGTTGCCTCAGCCCAGCAAGCTGGTCAACTCTCTGCCATCTGCCACCGACTGAGGGACCTCAGGGTCAGCATCGCTCACAAGCAAGAAATGGAATGGACAGGTGTGAGACAAGGCCAGGCTTCGAATGTGGAAGCCTGGAGGCCAATATTGCTGGTCTCCATACTCGGATTGCCTGTCCATTGAATGTGGCATTCGGTTTTCACGCCTACTAAGTACATCGATACAGATTCCTTATTAGCCAATAGAGCAAAGTGATGTCGGAAGCCAGATTCTCAGTCACTTCGGCCAAGGCTCGCCACTAAAGCGATGCCATGCAAACGCCAGGGCAGTGCCGAACACAACCAAGCCCACCGCGCCGATCACTGCCTGTTGAGCGCGGCTTTCCCAACATGGAGGTAGCAAGCAAAATGGCGGCAGCTCAGAAACAAAAGCAAAAACCTGGGTAACCCCAGCTGTTTAGTTTAGTAATGCTTCCACGATAAATGCACAACACTTCAACGTTTGTTAGTCATTTGATGTCAACCGTGCTGACGTGAATCATGGTGAACCATGCTGCTAAATGTCCAAACTGGAAACATGACTTTTAGCTCTGGACCTTTTGGTAGACCTGATCACGGGGAATTGATGTCCTCCAACCATGTTCCAGGGCCTTCCCCATTGAATTTCATAGCCAACTGACCTGTGTGAAGGGCTTTGCTGCGGCCACTTCAGCGGGCGCGAGGCTCCACAAGCGCTGAGTGGCCGAGCACATCTGATCTAGCTCAGAGTCGCTGATGGGCGTCGCCGCAGGCGTGATGCCTTCGAATGCCGCAGTTTGTGGGGTCACAGAGGACATGTCGTAGAACTTCAGGAAGATCATGCCATTCGCTTTCAGGAAGGTGGTCTGCTGATCTGGCGAAGGAGTTGTTGCCTCGATGCTGGAACACATCCGCTTGACTTTCAGGGTTTTGAGCTTGTCCTTCAGAAATCCGAAAAGTCTGTTCCATTGGTTCAAATCCTTAATGCCGCTGTAGACCAGCTTTGTTGGAGGCGAAGTAGGCTTTGGTGTGGTTGTCACTGCATGAGCCACTTCGCCATCCTTGCAGGTTGGCTTCTGCCATTCGCCCGGGAAGACGTCCTTGCTATACTTTGGATTGCACTTGCACTGATCCAAGGGAACACTGTCCATGCATGGAGGCTGGCAAAAGGCAATGGGCGTCATGCATTGCTGGCCCCCATTAGCCACGCATTTCTTCATGAAGGGACAGCAAAACAAATCACCACCACATTGCTCGGAGGTGAGGCAGCGCTCGCAGGTGCCGAGTTGGCCTCTGTTGATGCAGCTCACCATGCAGCTGTGTTCCACACAGCTGCCCTTTCCTGCAGCGGGCGCGGCCGCGGTCGCCGGAACGGGCTGCGGTGGAGGTGGCGGAGCTGGCGCGGCGCCTGCCGCGGGTGGGCAGGTGTGAATCAGCGCCGGGACCTCGGGCAGGTGCCCGGGCACCCCCGCGCCCAGCTGGCAGCCCTCACTGCCCGGGGGGCCTACGGTGTTCGGCACCTCGCAGCCCGTGCCTTGGCTTCCCGCCGCCGCATAGCGGCAGCTCACCACGCGGAGGTCTGCGCGCAGGCCCACGTAACAGGCCACCCGCTTGGCATCGCGCCAAATCAGCGCAGTGTAGTGGTTGAGCTGCCCGCCACAGCCTGGCTCCCAACCTGCTTTGGGACAGCCAGACACCTCCCGGTAC